CATTTCCAGATATTTTCACTTTTTATATGAGGAGGTAAAAAATAATTAAGCAAACGGGTGCACGGAACAATAAAAGCCAATTAACAAAGCAAAGCGGTCGTACGTCTGGTGAGCTTTTGAAAATTCATAAATATGCATAAGATTTGTGCTTGTAGCAAGTTTGCCGGCCTAACACTCTCATAACGGACTTTCACTCGAAAATAATAACGCAATTATAAACTGAACCGTTCACGCTCCAGACAATGCTCGACTATTACTCTTACTCTAATGCTAACAGTGCATTCGAGTTGCGTAATATTTAAATTGTTGTTCCTCGTTATTGGATTAATTGTTGCGCTATTGTGTTTAAGTCGGAGCAAATTTTGTGGAATGATGGGAGGCGGGGTTGCGTAACGTATGGGAGGTGAGAGGAAGGTGAACGTTGGGACAGAAATGAAGCTTGGAAATGTTTCAAATTTGTCAATTTTGGACAATCCAGAATGTCTATAAATTCTGGAAACGCTATGAAACTAGAAACTCAGAAAAATCTGTCAATTTTAAATACTTTGACAATTGGAGACATTTTAGAATTATGAAAATACATTAAAGAAATTTTAGAGTTATGAAAACTTTGGAAACCTCGAAAACTCTAAAAAGTCACGAAAGTCAGGAAAATCTGAAAATCCTACAAATTAAAAAACTCCACAAAACTCGAAAATGGTGCAAACTGTGAACGTTTAAACCCTAGAAAATCAAAAAATTTTAGAAAAGTCTGAAGGCTTTAATCGCAAGAAACTGTAGAAAGACTGGAATCTGGGAAAACTTAGCCTGGAAAGTTCTAAAATCTGAAGGATTTCTAAAATCTTTGTGAAAACTCTCTAGAACTAAATATTAGAAAATTAAAAATTTTGCAAAGTTTTTTAATTTTGGATTGTCTGGAAACTGATTGTCCTTCGAACTTTAAAAATTCGAGAAGGTCGGGACATTTAAAATAGTCCAAAATCCCTGGAAGTTCTGAATATTTTACTAACAATAGCAATTCTAGGAGGTTGGGAAATTCTAGAAATTTTGTAAACTGTAAAAATAAAAAATGTTAGAAATTTTCCAATAAAAAATACGTAGTAGTAGTATTTTTGATAATTCCTTGTATCTCCGAAAACTTTGAAAAATTGCGAACTCTAAAAACGTTAAAACTCTCGAAACTCTGCAAATTCTGAAAATTTTGGGAGTTTCTGAAAGTCTAGAAAGTGAAAGAATTCCGAAATCTCTGAGAAATTAAGGAACTGAGGAAGCTCTAAAATCTTAAAAAAAAATCATAATTCTAGAAACTCAAAAAACTAGAACAGTGGAAATTTTTAAGATCGTGTCAGTTCTGGAAGTTAGGAAAACTCAGTTATTAGAAACTTTATAAAGTGTGAAAACTCTAGAAGTCTTAAATTGTGGAAACTGTAGAATGTCTAATATTTTGTAAACTTTTTTCATTTCTAGAATCTCTGGAAACTGTGTATCTTCTTAGAACTTTAAAAATTCTAATTAATTTAAAAATTGAAATTTTGTAATCTCTTGAAACGAAAAACTCTAGAATCTCTCCAAAAAAAGTATCAGGTTATAGTTGCTTACGTCTAAACAAAATTCTAGATGCTCCAAAAACTCTAGCAGCTCTAGTAAATCTAGAGACACTAATATAATAAGCTTAGAGTCTATAGAAACTCTAGAAAAGGTAAAAATTCTAGATAATCTGGATTCTACAGAAATTCTAAAAGATATGAAAACACGACAAATTAAAAAACTTTGGAAACTTTGAATATACTAGAGTTTCACTACTACTTCAGAAATTTTAAACTCAGGAAACTGTAGGAATAATTATAATCTCTCTGGACCCGGGATAACGCGAGAACTTTGAAAGCTTAGCATGGAAAATCTAAAACTGAAAGAATTGTGAACTTTAGGCACTTTGGAACCCTTAGAATCTTTAAAAATTTTTAGAACTCTAGAGACTCTCAAAAAGCTGGTAAACTGTATGAACTGTAAAAATTCTAGAACTTTTAAGTTCTGGAAACTTTAGAAAATCTAAAATTTTGTAATCTTTTTAAATTATAGAATCTTTAAAAACTGCGCAGTTTGTTTGAATTTTACACATTCTCTAATGTCGGGAAAGTCTAGAAATTCTTAATCCTCTAAAATAGTCAGAAAACAATTTTGTAAACTATAAGATAAAATACTCTAGAAACGCTCTAATAAAAAATATAGGGTCTGGTTTCATATAACAAACAAATCGAGAATTCCCGAAAATTTTGAAAAATTGTTAAAACTCGCGAACTTTGGAAACTTTCAAATTCTGCAATAACAAATTCTTGAAACGTTGGCCACTATGGAAACTTTGAAAACTTTGCAGTTTTTGAAAGTCTAGAACTTGTAGAAACTTCAGAAACTTGAAATTCGATGTACCTAGATCCTTCAGCAGCTGTTGTAAATCTAGAAACACTAAAAAGTTTAGACACCATAGAAACTGTAGAGGAGGTAGAAATTCTGGATATTCTAGATTCTATAGAAATTCTGAAGGTAGACAGATTTAAAAACTTTGGAAACTTCTAAAGTTTTTGATGATCTGGAGACTCTAAAAATCACTAGTACCTAGGTACTTTGCGACTATTAAATTTTGGAAACTCTTTATACCCTGGAGAACTTTAGGAACTTTGAAAACTGTAGAACTTTAAACATATTTAGACCTCTAGAGGCTCTGAAAAAACTAGAATTTTTGTGTCAGTTTTGGAAACTCTATACCTAAACTGTGAAAACTTTATCTACAACACTTAAATTCTGGAAACTTTAGCAAATCTGATATTTTTTAAACTTTTTAAATTATAGAGTCTCTATAAACTGCACTTTCTTCGAACTTTAAAATTTCTAGAAAGTCGGAAAAGTCTAGAAACTCTTAATGCTTTAAAACAGTCCAAAAATTCTGGAAGATACACTGCGAACACTAAAAATTCTAGGAAGTTGGGAAATTTGTAAACTCTAGAAATAAAAAGGTGTGGAAACTCCCTAATCAAAATTATTCCTATAGGTTTACAGTTCCTTACAAGTTTATAGAAAAATCTAGAATTTCTGGAGATTTCAGAAAATTTGCGAAATTTAAAAATATTAATGCTTTCAAAACTCTGGAAAGTTTCAAAATTATCAAGTGAGAAGTTGTAAAAGCTTCAAAATCCTTGAAATTCAGTAGGTACACAGATAGATACCTACTCTATAAACTTTAGCGGCTTTAGAAAATCTAGAGACACCAAAAAGTTTAGAAACTCCACAGAAATTCTAAAAGCTGGAAAACTCGAGAAAAAACTTTAAAAATTCTAGGACCCGATTTATAGAACGCGAAGTTAAAGTTAATTCGCGATTAACTTTTAACTGAGGTCCGTTGCTAGGAAACGTCCATGTTTCAACCAATCACGGTCTCATATTCCACATTTTAATTCTCTGTTAAACTAATCGAGGATTAAATATTTAACTCGCTGTTCTATAAACCGGCCCTAAAAGTTTTGAAAAGTCCAAAGGCTGTAAACTCAATTTTTGAAACTTCACTCAAGAAAAATTGGAAACCAGGAGAATTCTAACAACTAAATTAACTCGAAATTGTGTAGATAAATTATGGAATGAAGCTCTGGAAACTCAATTTTGGAAAATTTTAAAACTGAAAGAATCCTTCACTCTCTAAGATCTCTAGAAAATTTGGAAATTCTGGAAATCTTGCAAAACTAGTAAACTGCATACTCATTGTCATTTTTCTCGACTTAGACACTATTTGTCCAGTTTTTTCAAAAATTTCCAGATTTTTTTCAAAACATGACTTACAACAATAATTTCGAGAATTAAAATTACCTAAGTACTTATTACCTAAAACATATTTCGTTCTTAAACTGAGTTTTAGAAATTTTACCTATAGATACTTTTTTTAGATTCTTTTTCAGTTTTACAATAGTATAATTCCACTATTAAGATATTAATAATAAAATCAAAATTAGCCAATTCAGAAAAAAATTCGTAACTTTTTCCATTGTATGTGTTCTTCAAACGTTAAGGATTCTTTTGTTTTTAGTATACTCAGAATGAAGCGTCATTTAATAGGTAACATTTTGTAAGCAGAAATGATGCTGTGTTTAGCGTCACACTGTAAGTTGTATTTCTACCTATATTAAGATTAATATAAAAATTTGATGACATTTCAGAAACCTATAGCTTAATGAATTTTGTTGTTCGAGGAATTTTGCGTGGAATAAATAAAAATAAAAAATAAATCAATTTTGAAAAAAACTTTTGGCAGTTACTTTAAGTATTGGGTGATACGTGCTTCCGAGGTTTACGATGCGTAAGCATAGCAAGTATGATATAATTAATTAAAAGTATTTATGTCATTAATTATCTTGGTTTATTTCTAATTTGTATTAAATGTATTCTATGTTTTTAAGATTATCGTGACCGTAATGTTAATTGTTTGAAATAAATTCTCCCGTCACGCCAAAATCTGCACCGGTCTCCTCGAACTAACCCAGCAAAAGTCGCTTTATAAAAACTTTAGAGTCCATTCGCTTAAGTTTATTGACCAATCCATAAAGCAAGTCGAAAGCACTTCATTCCCCGGTCAATAAAACCCCCAACAATAGCAAAACAACGCCGTCATAATACCTGCAAAACTAATAGAACAGAACCGCACAATAAACACCGTCTATTTCATCCTATCCCATTATATAACCAATGAAAAGAGCTTAAAGCATAAAAGCATAAAACTGTTTTCCTAAATAGTCAATCTAATAAAATCTGTACCAAAGACCTGCCCATAAAATAAACACAAGACGACAACTCGCGCCCGCCTCGCGCTCCCCATTGGCCCGCCAATTATCGCCGCTCGCCCGCCATTGGTCCGCCCGACCTGGAGGGGATTCCTCCCGCGGTGGGGGGCGCAACATGGCTGATTTACTGCCGGCTGAGGCAGGATGTGCTTTGAGGTTAGTTTAGCAGCAAACGTCTTCGTGGAGGGTTAGCCCGAGTGCAGCGATTTTTCCGCGCCATCGACACAAAGGTGCAAAGTGGTTTGTGGCGAGTTCTCGGTGTTGGCCGGCTCAAGGTGTTGGGTGTAGGGGAAACAGTGTCGAGTACGGTGGCTGGCATGACCGTGCAAGACGAGGTTAGGACAATGCCTCAGACCGCAGCCACGCGATCGCGTTTTATGATCACGGACATACTGAGTGGGCCCGCCGACGGGGCGGCGATCATCAGGGGCCGCTCGCCCAGCCCGGGACCGAGGGACCTCTCACTACACTCCAACCCCATCCACGACAGTGATACGGACAGTTCGGGACACCCGGATAACTCCAGCGTATGCTCGAACGGTAAGTGGGGCAAGGGCGTGCTTACGGGAGGAGATAGCGATGGAGCACGTGACAACTTAAGCGACACAGTTTGAGCGGTATACAGGGTGTGCCAAAGGTCGTCCCGTGGAAACTACTAAATTACACACTTAATGGTTTCAAGGTGAACAATTCAAAAAGATATTTTCTGCAAGTACAACTGTAAAAAGTACCGGCGAAAATCCTGCTCGGGTTTTTGTAGCCGAGAATCTAAAAGCGGTTATTTGAAAAGTGAATGTTAATTTTCAAAAGAAACACCCTGTATAATGTAAAAAATTATATAAATTACACCCTGTATAGAGAGAAATAGCATTATATTAACTAAACTCATGGTAAAAGTAATTTTATTATTATTATTGTTATTATCAATTTAAATTAATTAAGCAATAAACTTTATGCGTCTCATAATTCTTAAAATGAATAAGATCTTAATCATCGATGCATAATAATACTGACAATGAAACTTTTTAATGTTAAATCCATGTTTTTGTTAGCATTTACACAATGACCAGAGACAAATAATGGTAATTAGAAGTTTTATGTTCTTTTATTTAAGACACTATGGATAATTAAATAATAAGTATTTTTTGACAAAAAAAAAAAATCAAGTGACGTTGTAATAGCCGACGCTGGTGCTGTTTTTGTTAATAAGAGCACGTGACTTGCAAAGCGACACACTTTATTGGTTATTCAAAGCTTTATTAGTTATATAGTGTGTCCCAAAAGTTGTTTCATGTATTACTAAAAAAATGTCGGACTTGATAGTTTTTCAAGGCGATCGTGTTTTTTTTAAATGTATCAAATTTTCAAAGGCTTGTCGCTTACATATTTTTTTCCTTTTTATTACAAAAATCTCAGTGTAAACAAATATTGGGTATTAATTCAAAAAACACCCTCTATAGTTTAAAATGTTTAAGAGTTGATATAAAGCAATGTATAATTTTATAGTGAAACTGTCATACCGCTTACATTCATACAGGGTATATAGGAAGTTACGATAGCTTATAAATGGATATTTAGTTTACAACAAATGGCCCATCCTTTATAGTAAATTTTTTGCTGGTGTTTATCCAATTTAGCTATAAGCAAATGCTTGAAAAATTTTAATTAATATAACTAATAATATTTAAGTAACAGATTTTATGCGTCTCATAATTTTGCAAATGATTAAAAACTTAATTATTGGTGGATAATAATAGTAATTAGAAGATTTAATTTCTCTTATTTATATTGTGACTAATTTAACCATTCTTTTTTTTTATATAAAATAAATTATGAAGCTGTGATTTAAATTTCTGTTTTCGTTTTATAAAGTGTGCCCTAAAATAACAGACAAATTCCGAGAACAAGATTTCTGTTGTAATAACTTATGTAATTACAAATTATAAAGCTTTATACAAATGAAGGTTATTAATTCAATGGAACAAAATAACAAATTAAATATACAGGATGATTAAAAAATTGCGCACTACTTCGATAACACGTTGTTAAGGACCGACTCTTTATTGAACAAAGAAAAAAATAATTATAAAAATCCTTGAATTGATGCGCCATTTTAGAATCACTCTGTATTTTGAAAACAGTTTGTATGGTGCTTTTCTCATTCTGTTTTTATTTTCATGGAAATCTTTTACCCAGAACTGTACTAAATATTCAATTTAATTAACTGATTATTTAGTAGTTTCAGATTATAAAAAGCAGATGTTTTATATAAATCATGTAAAACAAGTGTTTTAAAATTTTATAAAATTTCGTAAATTATTTTTCATCGAAACTACGATAATTGTATTTCTGCGGTTAAAACAATGAAGTTATATATATAATTTTGAGAGAATATACTTATAAAATAAAATTGAAAAATACTAAGTAAATTTAAACTCAGACAAAAACATAAAAAAGACTAAGTATAATACTTTTTTTTCTGAAATGATTTAACACAGATTGTTCGTTATCTATACTTAGGTTTTAACATCATTTGCATCATTAGGTACTTTTTTTGAGTTCTTTTGTTGTTAAGAGATTTTTACATTTTTGTTGTACTTTCATAGTTCTTTTTTTATTATTAGAACAAATTTAAAACATGAAAAGTTACAGAAAATTTTTAGTCATGTCGGTATTATGATTAAAGGTTTTTTTCAAAATATTAGAAGTAAACAAAGAAACTGAGTTCACTACGTTTCCGATTCTCTGAGCTCCGGAATGTTTCTCGTAATTTAAAAAATTTCAGATATACAGGGTGATTAAAGAATATTCACCCTATATATAATTTATTTAAAAAAATAGTTAAAAGAATTCCTGCACCAAACGTCATTTTTTACTGTCGACAGACGTAATTTTTCACAATTTTTGTGGAAATTTTAGACTGTTCATTAAATCTATATTGGAACATATCAAAAGTACGAAGCTAATTCTTCAACTTTTCATACAGTTTCAAACATTTTGTTCAGGGATTTTTCAAAATTTTTTTCTCGTTCTTCAGATCCTTCTTAACAACGTATCATCGAGCGTATCCGTCATTTTTTGATCACCCTGTATAGTGGTAACTAAGCAGGTGTTCATATTTCATTAATACGTACTTACTATTAGAGATGAAAAAAGTTTGAGAATAAATTTGTGCGGTATTCTTTGAACAAGACGATACTCACAAAGATGTTTTTAATGTCATGTAAAGAAATATGTATTTTCCATTTAAGCCCCGCCTCCTTGGGTTTACAGCGAATAAAAAAAAAATCCTCACAATTGAGACAGGGCGGGTGGGCGGGCTTACATTTTTCCTTTTTGTTTCAATATGTGTAGACTTCTTTTCATAACATGAAACTTAAAACATGTTTAAAATGGAAAATTTGTGTAAGGATATATCGATTTGGCAATTAGGCTCCGCCCCATAATTGCAAATCCATCATATTTCCTTGCAAAAATTTACCATTTTAACCATGTTCTAAGTTTCTTGTGGTGAAAAGATGGCTATGTATATTAAGAAAAAAAAGCAAAATATAAGCCGCGCGGAGCTTAATTGTAAAATATTTATTTTTCTACTTCCACACTTTTCGACAATCGTGTGTATTTTATCTTCTATCAAAGCTTATTTTATTCCATTGAATTAATAAACCTTGTTCTCGGAATTTGTTTGTTATTTTAGGACACACTTTATAAAAAGGAAACAGAAATCTAAATCACAGTCTCATAATTTATTTTTATATCAACATTATTTTCCACTATAGAGTGTTTTTTTAATAGAATATCCTGTATATTTTTACATATTATTATTAGTCTCCGTCTAGGCTTTATAATTATAGTCCATTTTCAAAATTCCGTTGCGACGTTGCCGCGTTATTCCAGTCACTACTCTGAGTGATTTTTCAATTGAACACCCGTTATATCAACTTTAAATACAGAGAAAAGACTTAACAAAAAAGAAAAAGAACAAAAGCACCAAGTGAGATGCAGCATTTAATAAAATACAGGTGTTCTATGTGACAAAAATAAAATATGGGTAACTGAAAATTGTTATAGGTACATAATTAATTTTTTAAAAACACTACGCAACCTTAACCTTACGCAATTTTTGTGAACCCTTTGTAATAGTAGAAAATAATTTCAGTAAATGGTCTCCAAATTACAATATTACTTTAATCTTACACTTTTTTCTGTCTACATCCTATATATATTCAGTTAGTTCCATATCTTTTAGCGACTATGTACCTATACCTACAGGATGGCAGAAGTGCGACATTTTTTTTTGGTATATAAAAAATGTGAAAAATGCTAAATTTAAGCTGCTTAAAAAATTATCTGGATTCTAGATTCGTAGAAATTTTCTCGTAAAAATAAAAAAAAATCAATTATTTTTTTTTTAATTATTTAACACAAATGGTTCACTACACAAAATTAACTTTTTTACTCATGAATAGAAAGTCGTCCAGTTCGCATCGATTGGCGTGTGAAAAGGAGCATTATATGGCACTAGTGTGAAAAGTAAAAAATACAAATGTACACAAAATTCTTACGATAGCATTCGTCCCTCAGTTAGAATAATTCTAAAACTCGAGAAAAAAACTTAGGCAATTTATATAAATTCATCTAGATATTATGGTTTAAACTTGAGATCTGACATTTATGTTTCTAAAAATATGTATATGTATTTTATTATTTAATTTTATTTAAAGAGTAGTTTGTTAATTGTTCCTAATGTGTTTGAATTTTTCAAACACGTTAATCAAGCAAGAATGTTGTAAGATAATATCATTAACATAATTTTAATTAATACATTGAATTAATTGCTACTGTGTTATTTAATTTAATTTCTTAATCTTATTGTAGTTTCTGTTGTGAATTTAACTCTCGTATTTTAAAAACATTTTATTATAAAAAATATTCGTCCTCGGGAAATTATTTCCATCTGTCTTTCATTTGTCTTGATTCCGTGTTACTGTGTTCTTGGTTTCTCTTAAAAATTTCCCAACACCAATCTCTACACACCTTTATTTATACTACAACCATTACCTCACTTTCGTCATTCAAAATCATCTAGTTTAATTCATTTTTAATTAACTCACTCAACGATGTTGAAACAGTAGATAGCCACTAACAATATCGAAAACTGAATCCATTATAATTATCCAGGAAACAAATCCATTACCACGTTACCTTGCAGCATTCCTGCCACCCAAAACCCACTTTTCCAAAATTCCTAGCCTCATCCTAAACCGGATACGCCTTACGTAAACCTCCACTTTACATATCTTAAAGATGTCACTCATGTCGCGTTTTTAATGTATCCGATAAGCAACACTTCTCTCGTGTTAACACGCCGTTATTACCAACTAAAGAAAATTTAAATTTGTTTCTTACACTCTTTTAATTAATAATCAATTTGTGTCGAAGGTCGCCTGTTCGAAAACCCATCAATGTCACATCTACACCGTTAAAAAAACTAATAACGTATGATTTTTCCACCCGACCGAAGTAATGACAGCAATCGT